ATTCAGCCCCCTTTGGCCTGAGTGCAGTCATTAGCACTCATAGACGTTGCCTGATGAGTGCTAATGACTAAACAGAGTGCACCTGTGTGTAATCTAATGTCAGTACAAATACAGCTGCTCTGTGACGGCCTCAGAGGTTGTCTAAGAGAATATTGGGAGCAACAACAACATGAAGTCCAAAGAACACACCACACAGGTCAGGGATAAAGTTATTGAGAAATTTAAAGCAGGCTTAGGCTACAAAAAGATTTCCCAAGCCTTGAACATCCCACGGAGCACTGTTCAAGCCATCATTCAGAAATGGAAGGAGTATGGCACAACTGTAAACCTACCAAGACAAGGTCGTCCACCTAAACTCACAGGCCGAACAAGGAGAGCGCTGATCAGAAATGCAGCCAAGAGGCCCATGGTCACTCTGGACGAGCTGCAGAGATCTACAGCTCAGGTGGGGGAATCTGTCCATAGGACAACTATTAGTCGTGCACTGCACAAAGTTGGCCTTTATGGAAGAGATGCAAGAAGAAAGCCATTGTTAACAGAAAACCATAAGAAGTCCTGTTTGCAGTTTGCCACAAGCCATGTGGGGGACACAGCAAACATGTGGGGGACAAAGCAAACATGTGGAAGAAGCTGCTCTGGTCAGATGAGACCAACATGGAAGTTTTTGGCCAAAATGCAAAACACTATGTGTGGAAAACTAACACTGCACATCACTCTGAACGCACCATCCCCACTGTCAAATATGGTGGTGGCAGCATCATGCTCTGGGGGTGCTTCTCTTCAGCAGGGACAGGGAAGCTGGTCAGAGTTGATGGGAAGATGGATGGAGCCAAATACAGGACAATCTTGGAAGAAAACCTCTTGGAGTCTGCAAAAGACTTGAGACTGGGGCGGAGGTTCACCTTCCAGCAGGACAACGACCCTAAACATAAAGCCAGGGCAACAATGGGATGGTTTAAAACAAAACATATCCGTGTGTTAGAACGGCCCAGTCAAAGTCCAGATCTAAATCCAATCCAGAATCTGTGGCAAGATCTGAAAACTGCTGTTCACAAACGCTGTCCATCTAATCTGACTGAGCTGGAGCTGTTTTGGAAAGAAGAATGGGCAAAGATTTCAGTCTGTAGATGTGCAAAGCTGGTAGAGACAGACCCTAAAAAATGGCAGCTGGAACTGCAGCAAAAGCTGGTTCTACAAAGTATTGACTCAGGGGGCTGAATAATTACGCACACCCCACTTTTCAGTTATTTATTTGTAAAAAATGTTTGGAATCATGTCTGATTCTCGTTCCACTTCTCACGTGTGCACCACTTGTGTTGGTCTTTCAGGTGGAATTCCAATAAAACTGATTCATGTTTGTGGCTGTAATGTGGAAAAGTTCAAGGGGGCTGAATACTTTTGGAAGCCACTGTAAGTTTGATCTGACTTATTATGTTTGTATAGATATGACAGTCTTACCTGCTTTTGTGGTCTCAAAGAATCCAATTTCCTGTTTGGTCAAAGCCCCAAACAGCATAACTTTAATTCGGCATGTGAAGGAGTGTATGGCACATGTTAAAAGACCCCCTCTGCTGCCGGCACTCACAGAACTGATCAAACAAAGAGAAAAGCAGTTAGATGTTACCTGTGAAGAACAGGCAGAAGATCAATGTGGAGGAAAAACACTGCTTGCCTCATACCTTCCCAGAGAGTAAAGGCCCATGAAGATGAGAGCAGACAGGAACTCATTCTCCTGGTAATTACTTCCAAGGATGTCAATGACTCTCCCAGTATAGAAAGGGATGAACATCTCACCTGAGAAGAGATGCACACAGGTGATATAATCACATCAGTCAGGAAAAAAAACATTAAATGCACTATATGTGTGTATATAAATAAAGAAAGAAAGAGAGAGAGAAATATAGATATATTTATAGATATAGGCCCCTAGTAGAGTACCTGAACTTGAAGGATAAAGACCACCCGCAGGAGCAAGAGGGGAACTTTTTATATAATTGTTAGCCACTGCCTTTTCATGGATGAAATCAAGCTCTATGCCAGGAGTGAATGAAGAGCGAGACATCAATTCACTGATCACACCACAGGTAGCCAGAACTGAGAGGACTGTACAACCAGAAGGCAACACTGCAGACATCAAGGACAGCTATAGGTATCTGGGAATCCCACAGGCAAATGAAAACCACGAAGAGGTCACTAGGAAAGCCACAACCACCTAATACCTGCAGAGGGTCAAGCAAGTCCTGAGGAGTCAGCTGCATGGGAAGAATAAGATTCAGGCAATCAAAACCTAAAACCTGCCGGTGATTGGCGAGTTTATTATCCCAGCAGAGTAGCCGAAGTAGGACATACAGGCCACTGGCATCAAGACAAGGAAGCTGCTTACCATGCATGGAGGGTTTCACCCCAAATCCAGCACCCTGACCAAAAGTAAGGTGGGCGAGGACTGGTGAATGTCAGAACCACTCTCCAGAACATTCATGAGTACATCAGGAAGATGGCCACAACAAACTGCATACTTAGTCAATACCTCAGGCAGTAGAAACCAGAGAAAGAAGAGGAGCAAGGAGAAGAACCATCATGGAAGGACAGGCCCCTGCACGATATGTACCACCGGCAAATAGAGGAACTGGCTGACATCCAGAAATCCTACCAGTGGCTGGACAAAGCTGGACTGAAAGACAGCACAGAGGCACTAATCATGGCAGCACAGGAACAAACTGAGTACAAGATCCATAGAGGCTGGATTCTATCACACCAGGCAAGACCCCAGGTGCAGGCTGTGTAAAGATGGCCCTGTGACAATCCAGCACATAACAGCAGGGTGCAAGATGCTAGCAGGCAAGGCATACATAGAACGGCATAACCAAGTGGCCGGCATAGTGTACAGGAACATCTGTGCCGAGTATAACCTGGAAGTCCCGAGGTCAAAATGGGAATCAGGAAGAAGGAACACGAGAAGCTGGAGAAATACCAAGACGCTCAGAGAAGAGCTCGAGAGGATGTGGAGGGTGAAGGTAAAAGTGGTCCCAGTGGTACTTGGAGCACTTAGCCACTGACCCCCAAACTGGGCAATAATAATAATAATAATAATAATAATAATAATAATAATAATAATAATAATAATAATAATAGTTTAACATTTCCATCAGTCAGCAACACTATTATGCTCACTACCACTTTTGTTAGAGCTGAAGTGCAACTCTAACAAAGGTACTTACAGATAACAGCCAGCGACAGGAACACAAGTCCTCCAAACAGCAGGGCATAGTCGGGTCTGTACAGGCGGACGACTCTCATGAAAAGCACTCTCGCCTTCTGTTTCTTCTTTTTACCTTCGGCCTCTTCCTCGCTGTCCGGGATGGTGATCTCCCAAAACAGCGCAGCAGCGAGTGAAGCTCCGCTGAACAGCAGCCAGCAGCGCACATCTCCCAGCTGGCCGCACTCGCTCTCCTCTCTGTAAAGCGCGTTGGTCCCGGTCTCAAACACCGCGGGGAGCAGACTGTGCGCCGTTATAAACCGAATCAGTAGAGATTTGGGAACCCCGAGTGTGAGCATAGAGACGCCAATAAGAGCCAACCAGCGGAGAGCCGCAGAGAGCCAGAGACGCGTAAAGTGTCCAAAGACGCTGTGAAACACCGCAAATCCTGACGCGTAAAACAGCAAAAGGTCGACAGAAACTGCTAAAATAAAAGCAGCGACTTTGCGCATTGTTGTTGCTGTGATCGCTGCCATTTTTCGGCAACACTCGTCCTCAAATGACCTGCTGTGTCGCAGGACCAGAGTTTTAGGTTTATTTACTTTCACTTTCATTTTCTTACAGGATGAAGGGTTTCCCATAAATCCAAAAATACAGAAAGGAACACCAACTGAAGCAGCATTGCTAAGAATCTCATCAGCTTTAGTATTGCTAATCTTTCACTCTATAATTAGCATAATCACTAGAGTTTAAACTAACAACCCAATAATCACCCTCTTTAAAACTACAAACATTAAAAAAAGCCTTTAAAATAATTTCTGACTGAAATAAGGAAGGTCAGGAAATCTGAAATTGATTTAATTTTGAATTTCACACAAGGACTGCATGGGACTCATTGAAAGCCTGTTGTTAAATTCACTGACCTATTGGCCTCTTTCTGAAAGACAGCTGATCTCTCCATCCCTTTTTTGTTCCAGGTTTCCCACACCTCATTGCCACAGCCGCACAGCATTCAGATCGTTTGTGGAACTTCATATGTAGCTCCAGCAGCGAGTACACTGGGTTCAGAAGTGTGTGGCTGTTTGATTAATGTTGTCTAAGGAGCTTAGAAAGAAGAATGAAGTGCTTAGACTTAGACTCCTTAGACTACGATGACCTGGATGACTGAGAACCTTCCCAGACGATTAATGCAGGTTTTTTTTTAAGTGATATTGGAATTTGTGGGACCTGTTTTATCTGCTGTTGGTGTTTTAGTTAGTTTTGTTTGTTTGTAATTTATTAGTTGAAGCTTGTTAGAGGTTCTCTGCCATTTTATGTTCATGATTGTTCATTTTTATCCTGTTTTGTGACTAGCCAGGGAGCTTAGACATTTTGGTTTGTTTCTTTTCTTTTTTGTTTCTTTTCTAGTAAGAGACCTTTGTATTAATTTGCTTCCTTTTCCCCTCTTCTTTATTTTAAATGGTGTAGGGTGACTGTAAATAGTTAACTGTAAAATAAATTCAATGATGCAAGGCTAAATTGTTTGGATGCTCAGTCCATGGTTTGCACGGCTAACACCCCCTAGACTTTGCAGGAAAGGGGCTTGTAATATTATACACTGTGATGTATATTCAGTCTTAACACTGGTATGAATAAACTACTCCTCAGCAAAAAATAAATAAATAAATAATAATAATGAAATAATTATGGGTTGTTGCAATCACTCTTTTTAGTCAAATGTTTCACAGACTCATAATCTCAAACAGCTGCTGTTCTGCCTGTTAGAAATACATTTTCTGTCAATTAAGAGTCTAAAAATAACTGCTGCTTATAATTTTAAGCTTTATTTACTCTGACATCCAATAAAATATGGAACAGACAATAATCAACCAGCAATTTTAAGAGGACGAAGCGGCCTCGGATGAACCAGAGAAACGTTCAATTTCATTCTTGCAAAATGAACAAAAAATGTTATTGAAATTCAGATGGCAGGTAAATCAGGTCATATATTGTAAGCTTAACTACTGTTATATTTTAAGCTCACATGTAAATATCAGTACTAAGAAAGGTTAGCTGATAATATGCTTGCAGTACTTATGATAATTAAGTAGAAACACAGGGGTTATTTTCTTTTATTTAATTATCAGTGTTGTTCAGTGTTTGCAAAACACAAGCTGAGTTAGTTGACAGCTGTGCAATAAAGTCAGCCATGGCTTCTGTGGAGCCAAAAAAAATCTGTCACTGATCAAAGAAGGTGGGTAACTGATTTCCTAGAACAACTTTCTCCTCTGTGCCGTGTTCATCGATGGTGACGATGTAGGCCACACCTCCGCTGGAGCCATCACGGTTCATAGCCAAAGAGAGAGCTACAAAAATAAGAGATTTAGTAAGAGAGGTAAAGAGAACAATATGACTTAATTTGTACCAAAGAAAATATTTAAAAATAGTGAAAAAAATTGCTTTACTAAGCAGTCAAATCAAATGTTTAACAAAAGCCAAAAACAAAACAAAACCCCCCAAACATAAAAAAAAAAATAATAATCTTACTGTTGACAACAAACTGCTGGCACTCCTCCTTTCTCATGCCTTTGTGATATTCAGCATCAACAAAACCGTAAACATACGAGCTGCCAGAGCCACCGACTGCAAACGGCTGACGTGTCAGGAGCCCTTTTAGAGTTGCAAACACCTGGATATCAAAGGGCACAGAAGCAGAGTCACAATCCATACAGTGTTTTTTTTTGTTTGTTTGTTTTTTACAAGAACCTGTAACCTGGCTTACTAAGGTAACTTATAAGTGTCAGCAGAGCTGCTTCACTTGTTGCACATTGCTTTGAAGCTGATGGCTGCTCACCTGTGGACATTCCAGACTTTGGTTGCCTAGGTGCCCCTCTAATATATTTACCATCACGTCATATATCTTAGTTATCGTTTCAGTCATTCACCCTGAGACTAAGAAAGGTTCATCTCAAGTACTGCCCACTTTACATCCCCAGCAGTTGTTTTTGCCCATTTTTGCTGCCTGTGTTTAATTGAGTAATTTCTGTAACTGTGAGTCACTTGCTGCTGCCTATCTTGGCCAGGTCTCCCTTGAAAAAGAGGTTTTCAATTTTAATGGGATCTTCCTGGTTAAATAAAGGTTAAATTAAAAAAAAAAAAATAGTCGCTTGAAGTTGCAGAATGTCATTCATTTTGTGGTCTCTGGTCATTGCTGTCAGTCACTTCCATTGTCTACAGAGCTTAGGACAACATCTGTCCAATTTCTCAGCAGCAGTTACGGAAACATTATTAACTCTTTTTTTTTAAATGTTGGCTTCTTCCTTTTACAGTGTAGCTAACATCTGTTTACTGACCTGCCCTCCATCTCTTCTGTCCCAGCCCGCTACAATCAGGTGTGCTGACAGCTCCTCTTTGTACTTGTATGAGATGTTTCTCACAAGAGTGGCAGCTGAGCGAACCTGAGGATCCTCACCTATCTCAATGCTGAAAGAAAAGAACATAAGATTAAATACTTTATAAAACTACATCGCAACTTGACATGCAGACTCAATGCAACATAAAACATAATACAACATAATGAAAAAATAAATAAGTAATATGGACTGCACATTGCATCATGTAGTGTAGCATATAGGATTTGTTCATCTGAGTGATGGCTCCTGGATTAAAGCTGTTTAAAAAAAACAAACACTGGCAGTGGTCAGTGATCTGAGCTTTCTAGTAGATGCACCTTCTCATTTAATGTTTTTTCTTTATTTTCATAAATATTTACATTGTAGATTCTCACTGAAGGCATCAAAAATTAAAGTGAACAAATATGGAAATATGTAGTAAACAAAAAAAGTGTGAAATAGCTCAAAACATTTTTATATTTTAGATTCTTCAAAGCAGCCACCCTTTGCTTTAATCACTCTTGGCATTCTCTCGGTCAGCTTCATGAGGTAGTCACCTGAAATGGTTTTCCAACAGTCTTGATGCATGCTCAATCATGCAGGTAAGTAAATCCCCAAAAGTTGATTCTGTTCATCTGGACGTAGCGTTTTCAGTGGGAGAAACATTTCGTCACTCATCCAAGTGACTTCTTCAGTCTCAGCTGACTGCAGGTTTCCCCAATCTTATAAACAGTACATTTGAATAATGACTGAAACCAGCCCAATGAATGAACAGTGGGCTGTGAGGTCACCAATCAAAGCTCACTGATCAAAGCCCACTGATCAATGGCCATGAGTACCATTCACAGAGAGTTGGGGAATGGTTGCAATCACAGCATTGTAAGATGGTTAAAGATGTATCAATTGATCAATGAGCTTTGATGGACTGTCATTTGTCTTTACTTAGCTGACTGGTTCTTACCATAATATGAATTCTAACAATTGTCATATAGAGCTGTCAGCTGTGCACCAACCTGACTTCTGCACAACACAACTGATGGTGCCAACCCCAATAGTAGGGTGACCAACCTTCCTCTTTTTTTGCACTTGTTGACTTGTAAAAGCCTATATGACATTTTTTTTTCACCGTTCATTAACAGCACAGAGAAGGCATCGTTTAAATATGTTAAAGTTTTCTTTAAGTAAACAGTATTTTAATAAAGTTCTTCATAACTGGGCCAAGTGTCCTCTTTTTTTGGAAATCAAAATATGGTCATCCTACCAATAGGAAGACAAGAAATTCCACAAATTACCCTGACAAGGCACACCTGTGAAGTGAAAACCATTTCAGGTGACTACATCATGAAGCTCATTGAGAGAAGGCCAAAGGTTTGCAGCACTGTCAACAAAGCAAAGGGTGGCTACTTTCAGGAATCTGAAATATAAAACATATTTAGAGTTATTTATCAATTTTTCTTTGCTACATAATTCCATATATTTGATTTCTTCAGTATGCATCTACAATGTATAAAGTAGTAAAAATAAAGAAAAAAACATTAAATGAGAAGGTGTTTCCAAACTTTTGACTGGTAGTGTAAAATTGAAAATCCATTGTGATTTTCAGAAACATTTACCTTACTTATTTACTGATATTTAAACTTCTCAGAGATTTTATGTAGATACACTTTTGGTATGAATTTCAGAATCTTATGTCACTTCGTTTTCAAGTTATGGCATTCACAAATGTGGGTATTCATGTCTGCCTACTCACCATGGTGATGACAATGCCACATCAGCCTTTTATGACTGAGGGGGTAAATTAAGTAACTGTGGTAACTGTCTGTATACCAGGGACTATGGATACAGTTCTACCACCTGGAGAGAGGCCTATAATTCTGGAGGAGCTGTGACTCTTCAACCTCAACATAGATGATTATTTCAACTGAAATATATAAAATAATAATATTTATATTTATTTATACCCATGATTATTAACATGGGTATAAAAATTTATTAAAGAAAATTTGCGTGGTAATATTATTATTATTATTTTTTGAGTGTGCAGAGGAAGTATTTAGTATTTAAATACAGGCTTAAGGGGTAGTTAATATTCCATGTTAGAAGAATGTACAGTCTAATTTATGAAGAGGTCCCATCATTCTTGTGTTACAACTTTTTGCATTTACCTGTGCACATCCAGCTGGTAGTTGACTATCTCAGCGATGGTCTGAGCGTCTGCTGCAGATCCTGACAGAGCACAGTAGATCTTATCATGGAGGGGAGACAGTTTGTTCATCACCCTGTTTACCACTGATGCCCTGCATGAAGAATGTAGGGAGTGAAAATGTGTCTGTGACAAACTGCAAGCAAAAATGAGTAACAATCTCAGATGTTTAAGAGCCTTAAGAAATGACTCATATTATAATAACAAATCGAGTTTAGTTATGTAGCACATTCAAGCACAACAGACGCTGATCAAAGTATGTAGACAGAAATGGAAACAAGGCGCAGGCACGAACTTACCCAGCAGACACTCGGGAGTCAGACCCCAGCACGACCCCGCCATCAAACTCTATGGCGATAATGGTTGTCTGCAAACAAAGACACACAGTGACAGCAGCTGTGTTCAGGATTCATTCCGATAAACCTGCAGCGGTAATTTCCGCGTTTAAGCCACGAGGTCAGAAACTGTGCAGCTCAGTAACAGTTCACCAAGTTTCTTATAGACATTAAAGAAAATTCGGTACTTACTCCTGTTTTCACCTCCTCGGACAGCCACACTGGGCCCGTTTCTTCAAACATGATAATGAACTGCAGAGACTCCGGTAACGACACACGGACAGTGGAGGTGACGCCTAACGTAAACCGAAGCCTTCAGTCGAGCAGCTCCGGTTTAATTTTACTTTTTAGGATTTTAAAACCTTCGGCGAAACTGTGTCTTTGTTTAAAGTGGGTCTGATTGACCAAATCGGTTCTACAGTCAAGTTTTAGACGGACGCCATGTTTTCCTGAATAAATTTGAAACTGAAAGTTAAATCGTTCAAACTCTGCAGCGTCACAGCCTGTAATTCAACCAGCTGAGCTTCACTGTACATAATATATACATCTATAAGTGTTCAATTACAGAGGACAGAAAATAAAGCCTGGCAACAATAACATATTTACAGAACACAAAATGTAAACACGTGACAAATTAAAGGAAAATATAACACACAAAGTGGACATCATGTTCGGTAGCGTGTATGATTGCAAACGCCTAGCTATTTCTGACAGAAAGAGAGAGTCCTATTGATCTTTGTGACTTTTATTTCATTAAGACACCGATGGCTTCATACTTAGTAACAGGTTGATGGTGTTTACAGTGACCAGGGTGATGTCAGTTTTAAAATCTATGAGAAATACATCAGGTTCGGAAACAAATATATCTGAAATATAAAGGGAAAATAATGTAATGTGCTTGATCAGATCGCGATCTACTGATGTTCCATATGGAAAGGATTTTATAACAAGGTTGCAGTTCAGTGATGTAAAACAATGGACATTGGTTTGCAGAGATGTAGGAAAAAAGTGAAGAGTCACCATATTTTTTACTTAGGGAATCATATATGAATCATACATACAGGTACCTGAACTCAGTGCTTCCACGATGAGGGGGTCCAGTGGCTCTGCTATGCTACTGAGGGTAGTTTTCTGCCATGGATTTGCTCTATAGCTGATGAAACATTTCTAATATTTATTTCCTGTGGTGGTCAGCAGTAATGTTAGTGGTCTCTTCCAGGAACCTAAGGGGTCACCAAATGATTTACAGAAAATGAAAATGACCTGAATTATATTTTACAAAATAGGGACACTTCATTTGGAAGAAGTGTCCTCCATTCAGGAGGACTCCTCCAAGAAGTGTCCTCCCCTCCATTAGAGGGGCAGGGATAGCTCAGTAGGTAGAGTGGTGGCCCCATGATCGGAAGGTCGGGGGTTCAACTCCCCTGAACGGCTACCCTGAGGTACCCCTGAGCAAGGTACCGTCCCTACACACTGCTCCCCGGGCGCTGCATTGGTGGCTGCCCACTGCTTCACTGGGTGAATGGGTTAAATGCAGAGGAACTATTTCCCTATGGGGACTAACACACACACATTCCTCCAGCAGAGTTTAAATATTTTGTCATTTAAACCAAAGAACACCAATTTCTCTGGTGGCCCATCACCCTCTTGAGACACTTTATTTTAGATTCCCTTTAATTTGTCTAAAAGAGAAAAAAAGCTTTGGAAAATCTTAATATTTATTTTATTGAATTTACATTTTCCTTTTTTTCCACATAAAAACACAAAAACATGTAATTTGGTCACAAAACAGAACAGACAGATGAATTCTGTATAAATGAGCCTGCTTATGATTTCATAATAAGACTCATTTTCTACGACAGTGTTTCTGTAGTTCACAGGTTTTATATTTAGCTGAATATTATCTCGCTTTTTGTGTGTCTGACTTTGTTACATCCTGATCCTAAACAGACCAGACAGGTTAAACAAGTCCAGCTTTGAAACAACTACTCTGCGATTTCATTGGTGGTTTGATGGCAGGCGGAAGGAAGCAAGTCACTCATCATGGAACCTGGGCAGTTTGTCACCAGGTACAACCACATGCTCCACCCCCTTTTCGGTTATCACCACCAGGTGAGCGACACCCCCGCTGACGTTGTCTCTGCCCATGGCCAGAGCAAGAGCTGTGAGCAGGGAGGGATGAAGCAGAGAGAGGCAGAGGAGGAGAAAAGAAAGCAGGAAAAAAATCAGTTAAACAAGCAGAGAAACAGTTTATAAATCAGCTATGAACAATAATTTATTCATCACCAACAATCGTTTAACTCTCTTAACAGAAGTATTCTTATAAATAAATCCCTTACATGAAATCCACACATTTCAGGTTCAGTTCAGGTAATTATGTCTTGCGACAAGAGCTTAATAATCTCACTGATGTTTGACCTTTCGTGCTGCTAAGATGTTCAATTATATGACTAGTTTAATTTATCTGCTCTAATGTGCTGTTAAAACAGCCACTGACCCTCCCCGGCCTTATACCTGCTCATAGTCTTGCTACGTTCCTATAAACCCAAAAAGTAAAGCAAACAAGGAACTAATGAAAATTAACCAAACAACAAAAAGACAAATAAGTCAAATATATTTACTAAATAACTAGCAAAATGAAAACAGCTTAATCAAAGTAAACAAGGATCCAAAGTGATAAGATGTTCAACATAAACATAATTAACTCTTAAAGTCACTATTAATTCTCCACAAATTCAAAATAACAGTCTAAAATTCAAAATAATAGTCTTGTAGGTTGTGGTGAAAAAGTCATCAATAATTGTTTGGATTATTAGTGACTGATGGGCTGAGACCGATAATTCCAATATCCCTAATAATGGAAAGAGAATATGGCAGTGACTTTTTTTAATATAGTAAAGGTACCACAACGGTAAGCTCTAACACAATCCCTCATTAAAAGAGGGAATTTTCAGATTTGTTAGATAACGATATTTGATATTTTTGTTTGTGCTTTAAATATTTAATAAATGAAATGTTCTAAAATGTTTTTCTTATAAGTATAAAATTCAATAAGTGTTGTGTTTTTTTTTTTTTTACTTTCTGGCGAGCTCATCTTATAAAGCTAAGTTATTTTTGGCTTAGCTTTCATATTTTAGCTAGGGCTAGAAAGATGATAAAAATGCAAACATCTCTATAACTTACACACTGTTGTAAATATACAGATAAATAGAAATGTTCAGTGGTTCTGACTTGGAACAAACTGGACAGCTCACATATGCTAAATGATGTTACATCTTACTTCCATGGTGGAAAATGCAATATAAGCTAATCTGCATTTTAATAAATCACACTGATAAAGTTGTAGAAGCAGACTACTGTATATTAATAAATTTGTTTGTTTTTATATTTTAATTTAATGTTGTCTGCATCATTAGCATGGCTCTCTGTATGTTCTTGCTTTGCTAATGACTCTGACTGGCTGTGGCACTTTCTTGTCCCACAGGAAATATTTAACTAACTTGGAAAATCATCACGTTGCATACTTCTTAATTTTGATAGCAAAATACAAATTTCAAGCCATTTTGTACATTTTCATATGAATAAGGTTAAAACTTTTAGAGTGCATTGACAAAATGAAAAGAAAACTATACCATTAGTGGCAAATTGCAGGCATTCCTCTTTTGTCATGTTGGGTTTGTATTTAGCGTCAACATAGCCATAGATGTACGTACTCCCTGAGCCGCCAATAGTAACCTGCTGACTGATCAACATCCCGCCCAGAGACACCACGTACACCTGAAGAGAGAAGGTGCAGTTACACACAGCAGAGTGGACTCACTGTCATCATCACTGCTTATATCGTCACAGTAATCTTCTACCTGTGGTCCGTTCTTCTTGTCCCAGCCTGCTGTGAGGAAGCCGGCCTGCAGCTCGTCTTTGTTTTTGTAGCACAAATCCTTCAACACGGATGCTGCTGCGATCACCTGAGGAGGACTCTCCATCTGGACACTGCAGGTCACAGAGGACAAAGAGCTTTATTTATTTTTAATTTGTGTAGGTGAAGAATCAAGTACAGCAGCGGTCCCCAATCCCCGGGCCATGGAGCGGTACCGGTCCGTGAGTCATTTGGTACCGGGCCGCGAGAGTGAGACTCGGGTGTGAAATGTATGGTTTTCAGGGTTTTTAATCGGTTTTCAGCGTTATTTTGTTATCGCTTTTTATCGTTAACTCAGTTTTCCTGGGTCTTTTCACGTGTGTTATGAATAAATCTTTTTTTTTTCGGTACCGGTACTAGTTTTATTTTGTTGTATTTATCCGCGACACCTTAAAGGCCGGTCCGTGAAAATATTGTCGGGAACAAGCCGGTCCGTGGCGCAAAAAAGGTTGGGGACCGCTGAACTACAGTATGTATGAGAGAAGAAGGGTGTTGGAGGAGTAAAAAAAGTTTAATCAATGATAAAGAATGATTACTAAAACATATGTCTGTGTGTGCTGTACATGATTTTTCTGTGCAGACACCTGAAAGTCATACCTGTGGAAGGACAGGTGGAACTTTGCAGCCTTGATGACGGCCTGAGCGTCTGCGAGTGAACCGGCCATGCAGCAGAAGATCCGGTCGTGGACCTGAATCACCTTGTTGATGGTCTTAGATGAAACATACTCTCTGGAGAAGAAGCGAGAATGAATGTTTGAGCCTAATAAATGTTTAAAATAACAAAATATCATTTTCTGCTGATTTTCATTCTCTTTTGTGATGGTTTCTTGTATGATTAGATTTTGGTTTATCTGGTAACGTCCTAATAATTATCACATGGAGCAGTGATTTTGATTGTTATTAGGAAATTGATCGCTGAATGACACATTTTTTGTGGTTATTGTGTGTTTTTTGGATTGTTTTTGAGCAGTTAATATGTTGTGTTTTAAACATATTTTTTCTGATATTTCCTTAAATAACACCTCAGAGGACTCAGCACCCCCAAACACAGCATCTCAGTGAAGTCACTACAGTGGACAAAGGCACAGAACTCTGAGATTTCAGTAAATGTTTAATCTGTGGTTATCAGTGAAATCTTGAAACTCATTTGCAGTCAGGTCATGGTCATCTTTTTGTCTGTTTGCCTCATTAAAAGGGTTACTTAGCGGTCCCTCTGTTATATTAAAAGATAACAATAAAGGCAGCTTCCTCACCCTCCCATTGAAGCCCTGGAGTCTGACCCGATAACGACCCCTCCATCAAAAATAGCAGCCAGGATGGTGGTCTGAGGGAGGAGAGAGTGTGTGATGGTCAGTTTTCAATATGAAACCGAACACAATAAAAAAAAACATAACACAGAATCACAGGCAACCTTTTCTCATACTTTTCTGTTCATTCATGAAGACTGAACCACGCTATGAATTGTGGGGTTTAGAGTTCTTATAAAGGATTTCGGCTGCTCATTGAAAACGAAAGCAAAGCTAATCGTTTGCTTTTTTAGAATCTTGAAAAATAAATACTTGTTCAGAGCTCACAAATTAACTTTTACTAAGTATGAAGCATCAACTGGATGTGATTTAAGTTAGTTTTAGGTTCGTGTTCAGGTAAACGCATCACCTGTTCAAACACGATATCGGCTAGATGCTTAAACCTCTTATTTTACAAACGTTGACTTCTATGCTTCATCTTTCGATAAAAACACTCGTCACCTGGTGCTGGTTTACTTACCCCTGTGCTGACTCCTTTGACTCGTGAGTCCGTGCAGTGTTTCTCCATTTTCACTCCAGGATCGAAAGAGAGGAAGGAGTTGACGCTCAGAACAGCGACCTCAGGCGCACCGAGACGCGCAGAGGAGCCGCACTCACCTCCACAATGGCGCTGTCAAATATCTTCGAAACTCCCGCACCTGGCTTTAATTTCGATAATACAGCAAGGTAAGAGTTTATTTTAATGTTCTCAGAGCTGCAGACTGAATCAGTGACGACAGAAATCAAACTAAACCGTCATTAAGACCAAACTTACATCCAGATCAAAAACGAAACTAACTTTTCCTGATTTTATATCAGATTAGACAGTGGGACAATGCAAAGATCCGTGTAATTATAACTGTTATTACACTACGTAGGCACTGATTGACACATACACCCCACCTGCTCGCACCCCCTCACATCTCTTTCCTCTTTATAGAAACGCTGCATTAGAGGGTCTCTTTGATGGAGGAAACACTCCCAAACCTATGAAAACAGGCACCACCATCGCAGGAGTGGTGTTCAAGGTGAGTACTACACTGCTCTGATAGAAGTATGAATGAATAAAATAGTGACCTGCTGTGTTTTAGTCCATGAGTTATAACTTTGATTATGAAGTATTAAAATCATACCAAACTCACTCTCATCACTGCCACAGAAACTCCAGTTTTTTTCTTAAATCAAACTTTATCTTGTATTAACGCAATAATCATAGCTTCAGAGGATCAGACAAAAGGCACACTAATAACAGATTGAGTACAAACCTCTGTCTTGGCTCTCACTTTGATGGATATACGTGTTTGCATAAAACTAGTTTAAAATGTTAAAAATCACACAGACAGAAATGACTGAAATATAATTGAAAGCTTTATGGATTTTGAGATATCTGTATACTTTTATAAAAGTGAGCAGTAGAAAGTTAACAGTTGTAATTAAAGGAATAAAACTGGAGAAAATGTTTTCCAACCTGATTTGTTTCTGCAGGATGGAGTGGTGCTGGGTGCAGATACCAGAGCCACATCCGATGAAGTGGTGGCTGATAAAATGTGTGCCAAGATCCATTACATCTCTCCAAATATATAGTAAGTGTTGTTAGAGGAGAAATACTTCAATACTCTCACAACTTTTAATCTGCACTGTTTACTGTAATTCAGTTTCTCATTTTTGTAGCATATTTAATTGCTAACTGCCTCCCTTTCTTCAACTTAAGAGATGACATACTTGAGAACTGTTCACATAATGACATGATGTAATGGGATATTGAGACCACTGAGAGTGAACAACCAGTATTTATTTATTTATTTTATAGTAATGGCTTTCTGTGTTTCTTAAAGCAGGTTTTTCCTCTTTTTATCTTCCTTTATCTTTTCCCTCTGGCTTATCAAATCTTTTTTGGTTTGTTTGTTTCTCATGATCTCTATGTTCTCTTTGTTTGTGTTTAGTTGTTGTGGAGCAGGTACGGCAGCAGATACAGAAAAGACCACAGACCTTCTGTCCTCCAACCTCACCATCTTTTCCCTGAACAGTGGGAGGAACCCTCGAGTTGTCATGGCTGTGAACATACTGCAGGATATGCTTTACAGGTGAGTGATTCACAGAAACAGGTACATGTATCCAGAGATGTTTGGATCATTAGATGTGGTCTGTGGTCTTACTAAAACATGTTTTGTCTCTCAGGTATCGAGGTCAAATAGGTGCTAATCTTATTCTGGGGGGAGTGGATTGTACTGGAAACCACCTGTACACTGTGGGGCCGTACGGGGATGTAGACAAGGTGCCTTACCTTTCGATGGGTATGTGATATAACTCCTAAGAACAGCATATGATCTTTAATTGGATTCTTGGTTGGTGTTTCTGTGATGTTTTTTTCCCTGGCTGTTCAGCTGTCAGAACATTTTTTGTTTACAAGAAAATATCAGAGATAATGACTCTGTTAACAAATACAAATGACATTTTAATGTGCTGTAGGATCTGTATTTGATTCAATCACAGACTACATACACTCTGTGTTTAGCTGACTTTAAATTGTGTTCGTGCAGGGTCTGGTGATCTGGCTGCTCTTGGCATTTTAGAGGATGGATTCAAACCAGACTTGGAGGTACGTCAGTTGACAAAAACTGCTCTTTCTGCAGTAAAGTGATATGTAGTTATTTAAACCTTTATAGAAACTTATTTCACATAGTATTCATTTTTAATTGAATAATTTGAGGGTGGCAGCACTATTGGAACTAAACCTTCTCTAAATTAAACAAACAGCTGATAAAATGGTTGTTTCTGTTACCAAACAGGTAAGAGTGTGTAAGATGAATGCTTCTGTGTTCTTCTGCTTCATGTCATCTCTTTTTGCTCCTCTTTTATTCTGCTTTTTGTCCTCTCTCAGCTGGAGCCGGCAAAGGAGCTGGTACGAGCTGCTATTCAAGCAGGCATCATGAACGACCTCGGCTCAGGCAACAACATCGACATCTGTGTGATCACCAAACAAGGAGTGGACTACATCAGACCGTACCGGGAGTCACAGTACAAAGACAACAGGTATGCATATAACCATTCATAGTTTGTGTGGATGCAGACTCAAAGATGGATTTAATAAACAGAAAATAAACCTTTATTCTGGTGAAGCAGAAAACAAATTCTAAAAATCCAAATAGGGACAATGGTGGACAAACAGCACAATACAACAAAAACTATTGCAAACTAAAGGTTTAAATAATCACGGAGGTAATTAGGCAACACTAGCATGCATGGCTGAAACTAATCGGGGATAACAAGACAGGGGAAGCAAAACTAAATACAATGCACATGAAACAAGAGACTATCAAACAAAAACAGGAAGTAACTATGCATGGGAATATTTAACACGAAAATGGAGACTATAATAATAATAATAATAATAATAATAATAATAATAATAATAAACTTTATTTATAAAGCACACTAAAAAACCAAGGGTATACCAAGGTGCTTGACAAAAAGTAAAATAGGAAAAAGGAGATGGGAGGGAAAAGAGAAACGACCTGGCACGTATCAATTATAAAACCTTGACAATCATAATACATAAAAGTAGTTTTAACAAAGCTTAACGGATAAAAATGTATCAACGCACACCAAATATTAAGTAGGTGGAAAAGCAAGATTAAATAAATAAGTCTTCAGCCGTGATTTAAACAATGGCATAGAGTCAGACGCCCTGATAGCAACAGGAAGATTGTTCCATAAAACCGGGGCAGCTACAGCAAACGCACGATCGCTGCGAGACTTCAGCCGAGAACAAGGTTGCTCCAGAAGAAGTTGGGCAGCAGATCTAAGTGCTGACAGGGGTGTGTAAGCTAAGAAGCTCACTGACGTAGCTCGGTGCTAAATTATTGATAATTTTGTATGTGAAACGTAGTATTTTAAATTGAATATGGTATTAAACTGGCAGCCAGTGCAAGCCAACAAGAACAGGAGTGATGGAAGAAAATTTCCTGCTACCTGTCAAAAGACTAAACAGACATGGGGACCACAGGAGAGCAGGAAAACTGAAACTCAGCAGATTAATTATAAACAATAAGTATAATTACAAATCACTTAAGAAAACACAAACAAAACTGAGAATGAAATAATGGACAGCAAAAGTAGATCAAAGAAGTGAAAAACAAGAAAGCTTTTCAATTCTTTAACTTTCCATTTAAAAAATGAAACATTATTTTGTCTCACGTTTCTAGAATGTTTTTAAAGATGGATGTTTACATGTAACTTTTGAGTTCTTCACTCATGTTTTGTCCTCATTCACTCTTATCTAACCTTAGTAAAACACTTTGTATGCTGTTTTGGACTAAGATCCACTAACTCTGACTTTTATATGCACAAGAAGTTTTCAAATCTACCTTGACTGCACATTATAAATCCTCAGATTTGAATGTTTTATCTATGTGCCTTTATTTCAGGAAAATGAAGTATAAATATCGTCCAGGCACTACTCCAGTCCTGACAGAGAAAGTTGTCCCTTTAAAGCTGGAAGTTGTGCTGGAGACTGTGCAGAAGATGGAGACAGCCTGAGCTACAACAAACAACCAACACATACACACCATCTTTGTTTTCAGTCAATCATGTTCGAATCGTGTTTCTAAAAAAAATTAATAGAAAAACATCTCTGAATTTTTTTTCATCATGACTTTTGCTGCTTCAGCATGATGTGGTCCAATAAACAAGCTGTAATACTGTGGGTTTTATCAACATAGAGGATGCTGCTGGCCATAGAGAGAAGATATTTTTACAATATTGAATAATCTTTGAAACACTGAATAAAACCCGATTTACATGATCTTTGTTGCCTTTTTTCTTTACAGGTTTTATACTTACTTACCCTCTTTAGTCAAGTCAGTTGAAACACTTTTATTTATTTTATTATTATTTATTTTATTTATAATAACAAATGTGCAGAAGATAGAGAACATATGATATGATTGGTGCACTTGTCTAGGAGGAGATAGGGAACATGTATACATACAAACGATAGGATGATTATAGTAGGATTGCACATTTGCACTTTTTTGAAGTTACTTTTAAGATGTTTGTAGATCAGTAAAAAATTGCATAAGAGTAACAGATGTTTACATTGTACAACCATTATATAGGAGTGGGTGATGGATAATGTGTTTTAATTTTTAAATAACTGGACTTGAGCTTAATGATATTATACTACACTATATTTCTAATTAACCAGGCAGCTTATCCTCTTTTATTAACAATACTTTCTTTAAAGATATAATGCATTTTAGGGACAACTTGAAAGAAAGGCAAATGTGAAACATAAAAGTGAGATCAGAGGCGAAATGTGACATCACATGTGGATACAAACTAAAATGTGACATTTAAAATCTCCATATGTCTGTATGTTGTCAGATTGTACAAACAATGGCAGTAAGAAACAGTTTTAAATAGGTCAATATAAGATCATTATCACTTTGACCTTCAGGTCAATCTACTGAGGTCAAAGGTCAAATGTGGCATGATAGTTTAAATCTTTATACAGTGTTTTCTATATGTTGACAATAAACACCACAGTCGTAAAAGTCATAGTTTCTGACTGAACTTCCGACCAATAAATCTTTAAGTTGACCTTAAAGGGCTATAATGGATTATTAACATGACCCCACTCTACACCCCTACAAAATTTTATCAGCCTTAATTTAAAACTTTTCGAGCTATTGTCTTTACACACAAAATGACCTGCAGACACACAAACTACCAAGATATAACCGCCTTAGTGTAGGGAATAAACAGGAAAAAATGAAAGCAAAGGTATAAATTAATTAAAAAAAAGCCAATACTGGAACATCGGTATAAAGAAATAAAAGGAATAAAATAACAATAAACATAATTAAAGCTAATATGTTAATATCCAAACAGGATGATTGCAAAGCAGGTTACTGTACTGCATTTTAATCTAACTGCAGTAAATTATAGCTATATTTTTTTTTATAACTGATGTTAGTGAGCTCGTTAGTAACAGAACCTGAGGGCTGCATTTCCGCTTAGAGACTGATGATGACAAAATAACGTTTTTCTATTGGTCAGTTCGGTTTTCAGCCTTCTGCAGTCACAGAGTTTATTTTGATTAACTAAGTTTTTGGTTTAAAACAAATTCGTATATGCAAATGGTTGCATCTCGGTACTATTTAGTTTACAATGTTTGTATCTTTTTTTTTAAAAGAAAAGAAAATTTAATATTTTAAACGAACCATTAAAAACCCTTTCACTTTCTATTTCTTTGTCACGTACGAGGAAATCACCCTTGGTGTCAATCGCCTTCGTCATTTTTAGAAAACTCGACACCTACTCTGCATAAACATATATAAATTTAAAATATAGTTTATCTATTTACGTAGATAATGGCACTTCTTCAAGTGAGCGACTTTCAGTCTTTTTCTGAAGTCCGCGGACAGATTCTTCCAGTGAAACGGAGGCACCTCGTCGACCGAACCAACCACTACAATTTTGGGAGCAAAACTCAAGAATTTGCGGTTCCGCCTGGTGTAGAGGTGAGTGTCTTTAAATCTGGCATTAAATTAACAAAGTGAATACAGTAAACCTGCCGTAAGCGTCAGACGCGCCCTGGCCTAAATTTTACGCGTCTGTTGTGCTCAGTGAGCGTTTTTACTTCCTGTTGAATCGCTTATATAAACAATCGTGATTGTAAGAATATCAGAAACATTATACTTCTTTTTTCATGCGCTATCACAGATCACGCGTCTCATTCTGTTTATTTTGGGGTTTCATTTCAGCCGTCAGGGTTTCTGAAGTCCTGTAACCGTGATGGAGGTGTGTGTATTGAAATGAACCACGGGACCACCACTCTGGCCTTCAAGTTCAGGCATGGAGTCATCGTGGCTGTGGACTCCAGAGCTTCAGCCGGGCGTTACTTGGGTAAATGGGGATCTTTATCACTTAAAATACACAAAATGATTTGGAAACATTATGCATTCACATCTGGCGAAGGGAATAATGACCCAATCAGTTATTGTCCAGCCACAATTAAGGTGGTGCAGCTTCCAGTAAAATGTCCAAATATTACACAACAGGTGTGTAGGAGGGTAGAGATTTGCTTCTACAGGTGGTTACTCTTAATTTTTATACATTTCCTACAGTACTGTAAAAGAAGACTTGAGCCGCCCTTTTAAATTTTGCTTCCAGTGGTAAGCCACTTAACACTGACTTATGACTCATTCAAGCATATAAAAGTTTCTAAGGGGGAACCAATGTTCTGTCCACACATAACTGACAAGTTAGAAAAGAGCTAATTTAAAATTTTATCTTTAGCTACTTTGATACTAGCAGCCAAAACACAATTTGTTTGCATATCTTTAGCTGAATCTATGAAAAATGCCATAAATAACACAGTTTGACATAAAGTGTTATTTTTATACCAACAAGATGATTCCCAAAACAGCCCTTAGCTGAAAACTTGGCATATCTCAGCATGGTGTGCAGCGGGTCCTAAAAAATCTGTACAACCTAAGAGATATGCTTGGACCTCAGCTGATCCATCTAGTGTTCCCTGAAGTCTTAATTGTTCAGTATGACAATGATCTCAAACACACTGCCAATGCAGTAAAAGCATACCTGTATAGAAAAACACACACTATCATTAATGAGGTGGCTCAAGACTTTAGGAATAATACTGTAAAATACATTTTATTCATGTCTTTGCAGCATCCAACGATGTGAACAAGGTGATAGAGATCAACCCGTACCTGCTGGGCACCATGTCAGGCAGTGCTGCAGACTGTCAGTACTGGGAAAGACTTCTAGCCAAAGAGTGCAGGTCTGTCCTACATATTATCTCCTAAAGACTCCAATTATTTCATGATTTTTCTCAGCTTTGATGATGTATTGTAGCTTGACCGCATGATAGGAAACACACTAAGTATTTTATCTAGTTTCTCCTTGAATGTTTTATGACTTTGAACAAAGAAAGAAGAAACTTTAAAAGTGAAATGAAAATAAGAAAACTGATTTTGTTTGAGTGGAGCAAAGAGCTTAATTAAGACTTCACAACAAGAGGCTCTTGTGTGGAATTCAAGTTAAGCGTTTGAGAATTATAACTTACTGAAACACAATGAATACAGATTTATTAAACTGACATAGTCATCACATACCTTGTTTTTTATATAAAAACATACAATTTGTTTTCTATTTTCATCTCATTACAACAAACAAAATATATGCTCCACGCCTGTGAACTTTCCTGCACCTCTTAAAATCAGGAGGGCTTTCTTTCAATGAAAGAGACAATGTTAAAAAAAAACATCAGGAATGCTATATGGAGGTTTTTTTTTAACAGATTATAAATTCAGGATAATCTGGACTGACCACATAGTTGAACAATTTGTGAAATGACTTGTTCATAAATCAATAATTTATTGTAATTTCATCCAGACTTTACAGGCTGAGGAACAACCACCGTATCTCTGTGGCTGCTGCCTCTAAGCTGTTATCCAACATGATGCTGGGCTACAGAGGAATGGGCCTCTCCATGGGGAGCATGATCTGTGGATGGGACAAAGAGGTAAGCTGAGGGTGTGTTTGTGTGATTTTACTGTTCACAACTGAAAAATGATTGTCTCACTTCATTAGCTCAGCTAAAGCCGAGCCTAATATTGTACGCTACTTTGTTGTAAAAACATTGTTAGTACCATTGTGGTTTTGATTAGAATCCACGAGAAGTTGGATGACCACATCCTTAAATTCAGTGACCCCTTTTATGAGTAGAGCTGCTGCTCCTCCACATTAAAAGGAGTCAG